TGGCGGGTCCGCCGGGTCAGGGCAGCCTGGCTGGCGAGTGGGAGCCCCAGGACAGCCATTGGCCCCAGCCTCTGGCCCATGAGGTTCTCCCTGGTCAGGGTGCAGCGGCTCAGCCTTCCACCCCAGGGACTCAGGACTCACCTTCCCAGGGAAATCTTTCTCCAAACAGCACCAAGCCCCCATGTGGTTGTCCCCTCCCTGCACACTGAAGAACGGCTCCTCCCTCAAGCTACTAGAAAGACCAGTCCCTTCCGTCTTCCTGGAGAGAATAGGAAGCCCGGGTGCCCCAGCCGTCGGGCAGTGGTGCGGTGCCGAGGCCCTGTGCTAACGCTGCACCTCTCTCTCCAGGGCATGGCCAAGGAGGAGACGGAGCTGAGGTTCCGGCAGCTGACCATGGAGTACCAGGCCCTGCAGCGTGCCTACGCCTTGCTGCAGGAGCAGGTCGGAGGGACGCTGGATGCAGAGCGAGAAGTTAAGGTCTAAATGACTTCTATTCCACCACGTTCCGGTTCCCGCTGGTCTCCTTCCCGCTTGACCCCCGTGTCCCTGGCAGGGACTCTGCATCGCCAAACCTTTCGGGGTCGCAGCTCTTTTGTCCCACAGTTACTTTTGGTCCTGAGTGATGCTCACTGAGGCCATTAAAAACTAGCGTTTGCCAAGCCCGCTGCTGCAGGTCTGCCCCAGGCTCGGCTGGAACTTGCCCAGAGCAGGGCCAGGTACAGGTGTGAGTGAGGAACCTTCCTGAGCTGCATGTGTCCCTGCCGAGGGCGTGGCTGGTGGGTATGGGACCTGCAGCACCCCAAGATGAAGTCACCCTCCTTCCAAACCTGCCAGCAATGCTCTCGGGGAGCTTCCTGTAACTGCAAGGCACGCGATGAACCAGGGGCAGCATCTGGGCTCAGGTTCTGAAACTGGCTGAGATCATTCATTCATCCAACAAATATTGAGCTCAAACACTGTGCCTGCCTTTATCCCGTGCCTCGCACCTTGTGGGGCTGTCCTGCCGGGAACAACGGTGACCCCTCCTGTCCCTCCTTCCCTGAGGACCCGCCCGGAGCGTCAGTATCCGGGAGAGGCCCAAATGCAGGGCTGGAGGGCGCCCTCTGCTGGCCGGAACAACGGTGACCCCTCCTGTCCCTCCTTCCCTGAGGACCTGCCCGGAGCGTCAGTATCCGGGAGAGGCCCAAATGCAGGGCTGGAGGGCGCCCTCTGCTGGCCGCCTGCGGGAGTGCAGGCACCAGGCCGTGCAGGAGGTGCCTGTGGGTGAGGGGTCCCCTCTCTGCTCCAACCGAAACCCCCGCCTCCTACCCTCCCCGTAGGTTTGGAGGAGAAGCCACTATAGGAACTGTGGTTCGTGCACCATGTAGGGAGACAGGCACTGCCCCGTGGAGGTGAGGGGCTCTCCTGAGCGGGCAGCTAGGGGTCTTGGGTCCCAGTGGGCCGCACCCCTAAACACCCCGCAGGACAAGAAGCACCATCATCTGGTTGACTGGGCTGGGTGGGGCATGGTCCTGGGGACCAGGGACAGTGTCGGCAGAGGACCGCCCCCACCCCCACCCCGTTTGTCCATCCTGGCTGCCCTAGGGGAGCTACCAGCCTCACCCTGTGTCACCTTTGCCTGCCCTGGTGACTTGGCTGGGCTCCCCCCTCCCCTGCCTCCCTGGGCATTCCACTGAGCAAGGTCTCGCCCTGCTGTGCTGCTCCAGCTGCTCCGGGTGGGTGCAGCCGAGACGCACCGTGGGGGTGTGTGGCGACTTTCCCCTCCTCTGGCTTGAAAGGTGGAGATGAGAATGCAGAGATATTTATTTGCATAACAGGGGACTTTAAATCTTCCCTTTTTGACTTTTTGGGCTTAATTTTTGCACAATCCTTGGAGAAAGGAAAACGTCAGGCAAAGTCTCCATTCAGAGCATCGTAAAGCCCAGTGGCCCAGGGTGGCTAAGGGCGTGACAGGCCGAGCCTTCTGCCTCACAGCAGAGACCACCGTCCTCGTGGCCAGTCTCACCTGGGAGCTGGAAGAGCTGGAGGAAGACTCCCGTCTTCCCTTTTTTCAGAGACATTTGATTGGGAGCCACATAAAGGCAATGAACTTAGAAGATTCTGCTTGGAGAGTGAAAATGACCAAATTGCATTTAAAAGATTTTTGGATGTCATTTAGAATCAGAGGAAAATCTGATGCAGAGAAGTACCACGTGATCACTTAAAAATTGGAAAACACAGGAAAGATTAATGAAGAAAATAGACCACTGATGATCCCACACGGCCTGGTTCTGAACTAGAATTGGAACTGCCACCTGTCACTGTGCCAGCCGAGGAAGCCACACAGATAGTGAAAGTACTGTGGAGGTGGATAGGAGAAGACACGGGCGTGGGTGTGGGCCTGTCTCTTACGTGGTCCCAAGACTGTGGGTGGCCGATGGCCTCCCAGGGCTCAGCCTCCCCGTCTGGAAACGGAGGGTTAGGACTATCTTGACTTCCCTCTCCGCTCCAGGATTCTCCAGCCGAAGCCTCCACAGCTGTCACTGCAGCCTCTTGAGGGAGAGAAGAGGCCGGGGAGGGCGGGCTGGGACCCAGTGGATGTGACCCAAAGGGGCCCAGAGCTCCATGAGCACCACCACAGGCCGTTCATTTGGTCCTTCTCTCCCCGAGATGATGGACCCTCAGACCCTGTACACAGCTGTCCGCAAACACTGTCATCCACTGGCCCTGAAAGCTGTTCCCATGAGGTGGCAGAGGGTAAAATGCCCCGTGGCTTGGACCCTGTAAGAGCAAATTAAATCAAGCAGCCCAGCCCCCGGCTGGAAGCCCAGGTGGTGCTCGGGAGGGACTGCACCCACAGCGCTGCCTGGTAAAGCTCAGGGCTTGTAGTCCAGATGGAACAGGCTCTGGGGAAAGTGGGCTAAGGAACCAAAATGCAGAAAAGGCGGCAAACCCAGGGCCAGCAAAGGGCAGATCCACTCAGAAAGCCCCTCTGTGTGTGTCATGGTCACCCAAGGAGACTAAAGCGAACCCGCTCTTGCTGGTACCTGGCAGGGCTGAGCACAGAGCAGACTCGGGCCTCCTCGGCTGTTTCATCCTGTAAACTAGGATTCTACCTAACGGGTTCTCAGACTTAATCTACAGATCTTCCCCCCTTGTGGTCTAAGTGAGATCACTGGCTTCCAACCAGCTTTAAGTTCTTCCTTTCTTAGAAAGCCTCTTTTCCAGAGGAGGGAATGGTCACGTCTCAATTAGCAAAGCCAAAGGCAGACAATCCTCTGAAGTCTCCATCTGTGTGAGCTGGTCCTGTCGGCGTGCACCTGGCTTTTAGAGAAAATTTGATGTATCTTTTCTCCGTCCTACAGACCCGCGAGCAGCTACAAGCAGAAGTACAGAGAGCCCAGACGCAGATACAGGACCTGGAGAAGGCGCTGGCTGAGCAGGGGCAGGTGAGCCTCGCCGGGGCGCTCGTGGGGGTCTGGGGGCCTCCTCCCCCATGCAGGGTGCTGGGAGGGCGGCTGTACATGGGTGCGTACATGGGTAGGGATGACTCGGCTGCACACTGAGGATTAGCAGCTTTAGCACACTCTACAGTGTATATATCACACCACAATAAAAAATTCTAAAACCCAGAGGGAACATGGGTCTAGCAGAATTCCCTGGTGTCCTTGCTCAAGGCAGGGGTCTGCCTGACCATCACGCCTCTCCTGGAGGGAGAAGGCGACCAGGGTGGTTGGGAAACCAGCCGGAGGAGGGGACGCCGCCTCCCTCATGCACAGAGGTGGATCCTTCAAGCTCTACAGGAACTCACAGAGGACTCTGGGGAGAGTAAATCCAAGATGCAGTCCCGTGCCTGGGGAAACCAGGTTTCTCCCAACACCTGCCTTATACCAGAAATGCTGCTGGTGGACCCAAGGGTTTCCAGACAGGAGAGGATATGCCGAGGACACAGAACTTCCTCCCGAGGTCAGGCCTTGAGGCCGGGTCGGCGAGGCGTCCACATGCCCAGTGACAGCATGAGCCCAGTCTGCCCATGAGTACCAAGCATGGAGGAGACAGGACGCCCACCCTAAGGAGACTGCCCTCCTCTTGAGCCTGAGACCCCTCAATCTCCAGCCAAGCCCCAGCTCCCACTGGCCGCATGTCAGGGTCCCTTGGCCCTGGGGTGTCCACACAGGCTACGTGCTGCTGGGTACCTGGCGGGGGGTACTGTCCGTGGGTGACACGCAGGGTCCCTGAGGGGTCCTCCTGGAGCAGGACTGCCTCTGCTTATTCACTGTCCAGGACCCTCTAAGAAAATGGGTAAAAACACAGGTTTTCACTCTCTGCGATGTGAACTGTCATTAGGTGGTTATTTCAGAAGCTGAGTGTTGAATCCTTTCAGGGTTGACATTTTCTCTCCTGCCAAATCACAGTTTAAATGTTGGCTTCATAAATTTGTCCTGCAGTAATTTATGTATTTCTCCATTTCCAAGGATATGAAGTGGATTGAGGAGAAGCAAGCGCTGTATCGAAGAAACCAGGAGCTTGTGGAAAAGGTAAGGCGACCCCCCCAGGGTCTGGCAAAACTTGCTCTGTGCACACAGGAGTGTGGTGGTCCCTGTGGGCTGGCGGGGCGGGGCTCGGCAGAGGTCCCCTGACCTCCCCGTCACGGGGCCACTTCTGTGTTCTCACTCCTGCGGGAGCCATCAGGAGCCCCGGCGTCCTGCCCCGCTCTGCATCCCAGACGTGAGAACGGCCCGGATGGAGGAGCCGGGTTTGTTCTCGCTGAGTCTCTGCAGCATCCCGATGCGCGCTTCTTTTTGCTGATGGGTTCCGCAGACGGGAGGGGTAGAGAATGCCCGTGAAGGAGTGGTGCTTTCGAAACCCCTGGAGTCTGCCCACTTGGGAACCCCGTTGGGTCAGGGAACTCCACCTCTAGCAGTGTTCGCTGTGGAGTTCGCAGGGTCCTTGCTTCTTTTTGCTGATGGGTTCCGCAGACGGGAGGGGTAGAGAATGCCCGTGAAGGAGTGGTGCTTTCGAAACCCCTGGAGTCTGCCCACTTGGGAGCCCCGTTGGGTCAGGGAACTCCACCTCTAGCAGTGTTCGCTGTGGAGTTCGCAGGGTCCTTGAGGAAGAGTGCCGCAGGCCGGGCCTGGGTTTTAGTTTCTGGCTTGAGCAGTTGTGTGCTTCTGACTTGGCCGTGCTTCACCTGGCAGCAGCCCTGGGTGTGGGCTCCCTTGGCCATCATGGGTGGGGGTCCTGTGTGGCACCCTCCCCACCGGCAGCTGGCGGCCACCTTGTCCATGGCAGAGCCCTTGCTGAGGAGGCAGCAGGCTCCCCCCGCAGGGTGCAGCCCTTCCAGGGAAGAGCCAGGACCTCAAGTGCTCACAGCTGTGCAGCATGCTATCCCGACGAGCTTCAGACAAACAAGAAGCCTCCACACCGAGCCCTGGGGGCCACTGTCTGGCCAAAGGCCCATCGTGCCCTCTCCCCAAAGCCAGCAGTCCCTCATGGGGTCATGCTCTGGGCTCAGTTCAAGTCTTGAATGGTGAACGACACACACGTGCTTCCTGTAGACACTCTGCACACCTCTTAGATCAGGACAGATCTTTCTGTGGGGCTTGCATGCACACTTACACATATCATACTTAAATGCACATGTGCACATGCTAACACTCATATGCAGTTAAACACATTGCACTTAACT